CCTGTCAGAAGTTAATTGATGGCCCCTCATTCAGGAAACACAAACAACGTGCAAACTTAATTCATACACAAAAACTCCAAGACCAAAAATACCTCATTCGATGTTTGCATTCAAAGTGTACAAAACTATATATTGTAATTACTAAGCATTTTTGAATTATGTTATTTTTTTTACTGTCTAGGATAGTGCTACTTAGTTTGACTCCCAGTCTGCATGTTAGCTTTACCTAGGGACCTGTCAGAAGTACACTTCCTTAGTCTCTGCCGCAAGCATGGGCAGTGTAGAACTCAACATTCTGTGTTTTCATAAGCCTGCAGGTGATCCCTGGGAGCCCCAAGCTGGAGAACCAATGCTCCCACGGCTCACTCTAGCTCTTTGATTTCTCATCAGCCTTTATGTCCTAGACTTTTAAGTACTATAAATGTAAAATAAGAACAGAGCATGAACCAAAGAAACAGGTTTATGTGAAGTGACAGAGAAATATATTGTGGGATCTGTGGGCTGTAAAAGATCATAGAAGCATTCCAAGACGATGATGAGAGACTTCTAAAGGCTAAACAAATCCACTGGCTGTTTCCAAACAAACCTCATTGGTCAAGGTGTCCTGCGGCAGGTCCAGTGTTATACTACTGGAGGAGAGAGCCAGCACTAGGCAGGTGTTCTTGGGGAAGGGCCAATTTTGAGTGGTATTAGGCTTGTCGGAGTTCTTGGTAGAACCCTGTCCCAAGGGCATATGCTGGAAGGGCTGACATGGAGGAATGTCTCATGGGCTTATATTAGAGTTGTGTGCACAGGGTCTCCTCAGTCAAGATTTGCCTCCACTGTTCTTTTGGTCTGATGTGACTTTGCTGCAACACTGACAAGTTTCACAGTACAAACTGTTTAAGTAGTGTTTATGTAAATCATGCATCACCTCTCTTTTTCATTAGATACCTTCTCTTTCCAATAAGCACCTGAAAAGCAAATTCTCAGATTGCAGACAGTTCTACAATAAAGAGTTAGATTGCCTTTTCTGAAAAGAAAAAGATAAACTTGATTCTTCACTCTGTTTTACATATGTGGTAGTCATCTGTCAATGCAGAATAGGAAATGGTGTCTCTGCTGTCATCCTGCATCTATCGCCTTCGCTGTCTTAGGATGGTGGGTCAGACTATGGCCCAAGCACACTTGTCCCCATATGAGGATCGGCCATGTCAAGATGCTCATCCCTGTCCTTCCAGATTGAAGACAAAGTAAGAGCAATGAAGGGGCACACAACCGACATGTAGTCAGTCTATTAATTTTCCCATATTCCAGACCAAGAGAATAAAACTGTTCTCCTTGAGTTCTAGAAACAGCAGTCCCACAGACAGATGACTCTATCGTGTCACCAGTCCCTAAGTAATAACACTTATACCACGAAGGAACCATGAGTGTCCCTACCCCTCCCACCAACTAGCCAGGAGTTATCTCACGATAGAAAGAGAACTGGACCTAGAATAACAAGATTTCTCCAGGATCTCCCAGAGTCAGGACTGAAAACCAGGCCACAGAGGGATCAAGCATACCCTTGTCCCTGTCCCAACTCTTCCTCTATTTAAACTTGAAGTTCATGTCAAAGACCTGAAGTCAGGTCTGAGGAGGCTGCTCCCCTGTTTCCACATCATAGCTCCACTGATTAAATCCCTTTCTTGATTTTCAACAAAGTTTTCTCACTTTGGTTTCTGGATTAAGAAGGCAGTGCCCACCCCAATTACAGTTCTGTCTTCAGATGAACCCAGAATTAAACCTAAATGGTAGGATAGCATATGCAGAAACAGCAGCAAATTGAAGAAGGCATTGAACATGGACACACAATTATTCTGCTGATATTTTTGTTGAGAATATTTTGTTGGTATTTTTGGAAAGAAAATCTGAATGTCACATTATAGAATTAGTCAATTGTTCTACTAATATAATGAAGTGATTTGGTCAATAAACACCTTAAAAGTATGAAGAATCAGCTATTTTAATGCTATGTTTAATTTTCAACTATACCTAGTTCACACAAAACATTTATGATAATCCTAGTGATGAACAATCCATACAGCTTCTTATGTTTGGATTTCATATAAACCATATTTCACTGTGGATTTTTATATAAACCATATTCTACTGTGAATTTTTATATGAACTACATTCCACTGTGAATTTTTAAATAAACCACATTTCACTGGACGTCCCTTTGCAATTCACAATAAAGAAAAGCCTCAACTCTGCCTGTGGATTGCTAACATGATACACTTAGACCACGTAACTGTGGACTCATCATAGGTGCTCAGCATCACACTTTAAAGACAGCTGTTCTTCCTATTTTCCAAAACCTTGCAAATCTCTGTTACTATCCTGAATCCAAGGGCCATGGAAGACACGTCTTGAGGCTCACATGCTTCCGTGAAGCTGTAGAATTTCTCCCTGTGAGGACTTCAATAGACTGATATTCGCAGCACTGTGTATAAAAACACAGAACAACCTACATCTTAACTCCATCTGTCAAGGTGTTAATTTTGGGGTCAACAATATGATTCTAGCTGACTTTTTATTGTTGGTCAGAATATAAATGCCTGTTACAGTATTAATTACTTCATGCAGCTTTTCTATGAAGTGTCATTTTACCCCGTTTATGTGGCACCTCGCTTGCACATCCATCAAGCTGATCACCATCAAAATTCACACGGATGCTCACTGCTTGTTTCCAGTGCTGTCCCTCACGATCTCAGCCCTGTTCTTGGCTGTGGTGAATCCCTCAACAGCACTTGCAGACTGAGGACAGACCAGCTCAAGCTGGCTTAGGAGGTTATCTTTACCCCGGCCTTGAGAGGCAGTTTGTGGGGGTGCTGAATTGCAATTTCAAGGAGTACTCTTGGCAGTCAGCTACCACCCCCACTCCATCTATTCTCTTGCTTCTCTTGGGAGCCATCCAGGTTGTTCTCATCGTGCCAGTGTTGGCTCCTTTTAATTTTAGGACCTCTTTGTCCTGGGTGTTCTATCCTCTATGAGGGGAACTCACAGCTACTCGTCACGGTTAGGAGCAGCACACATAACTTCCGGGCGATCCATTCCTCCCTGTGATAACAGCGGGGAACTGGGTTGCTGTGCTCTTCTTTGTTTGTTGTTCCTTCTTTTCTTACTACAGAATCGCCTTTGATGGCCTTTAAAACCAATTAAACAGTATATAGAAATTTTAACAGGAGCCATTTTCTTTTATTTTTATGCTTCAACCCTTCTGGCCTCAGGATCTCTGGAGCCGAGCAAGCCATAGTGATGCAGGCCTAGCTACGTCTATGTGGGAGAACAAAATGAACGACCCTGAGAGTCAATGACTGGATTCTATCTGCATGTTCAGCCCAGTTGACTACTGTTCCGCCATTACTCGTATCGATAATCAACACTTAAGGAAATATATTAATATCATCAAAGTAACAAAATGATGACTTTCTGCTAGGGTTGGACCATCTCTGTCCCCTCTAAACCTAATTACAAATATGATATTAAGACGTGGACTCCTTTGGACTGTGGGAGTGGGGTTAGTGTCATAAACATATTCATGACTGATTACTATAGTCAAACAGGAAAATAGTTCACCTTAATATATAGGCGCATAGATAATATAGACCACAAAATATTTCTCTGGTGTGAGGATTATTTTGAGCTATTGTTTCAAGAAACAGTGGGCCCATCATTTGCAATTTTAGGCATGGAATCCCTTCTATAACACAAAGACATGGTCTTAATCTCCTCAGGGAAAGACAGCAACATGGTGCCTTCTTAGAAACAGGTGCCAGGCCCTTCCAACTCCTAACCTCCTGCCAATGCCACCTTTGATGGCCCAGCTTCCAGAACAGTGAGGAACACTTCCCCTTGCACTAGACATGACCAGTGCTGAGCATTTGTCACTATATAAATTCACTGAGGGGGAGGCATTTATTTACCAAGGAAAGTGCTTGAAATGACTGTACTGACATCATAACCTGGGGCCAGACATTGTGAAAGAGAAATTAAAAATACCTTTGGCTTTTTAAACCTTCTTTTGCTCTGAAAATTAGAAAACAACCTACCTCAGGACCCAGCAAAACTACTTTTATGTATACACCCAAAGGATGCTCAATCATACCACAAGGGTATATGCTCAACTATGTTTATTGCAGCATTGTTTGTCATAGCCAGAACCTGGAAACAACCTAAATACTGGATAAAGAAGATGTGGTACATTTACACAATGGAGTATTATGCAGTATAAAAAAATAATGACATCTTGACATTTGCAGGCAAATGGATGAATCTAGAAAACATCATATTGAGTGAGATAAGCAAGTAAGTGACTTTTAGACATAAAGCAAAGAAAAACCAGCCTACAATTCATGACCCCAGAAAATGCAGACAACAATAGGACTCTGAGAGAGACATACATGGATCTACATAAGAAGGAGAAAAAGACAAGATCTCCTGAGTAAATTGGGAGTGTGGGGGTCATGGGAGAAGGGAAGGGGGAGGAAGGGAGGGGAACAGAGAAAAACATATAGTTCAATAAAAAAAATTTGAAAACTAGTCTGGGTACAGTATCATCAATAAAACTTCCAAATTCTTGTTTAAAAAAAACTGCGTGCTTGAAAATATAGTCAAGAAAAATGCATTTAAGAACATAAGAAACTAAAAGAAAGCAAAGTGTGTGCCCCTAGTTGTATACCCAAGCCGAACATAGCTTGCCACTGTCTTTATCACCCCAGCTCTGAAAACATTTAACTTAGTGTTCAAGGCCCATGCATCGTCGGCAATCCTTCTGTCTGCTCCACTGTGGTCTCTGTTTGATCATGTTTATTTACTACTGCATGCACTTGCCTCACTTCAACAACTGTGTATTGTCAGGATGTCACCCTGTGCCTTAAAGATTCCATCCCCAGTCAAATTATGAACTAAGTTTGTACGGAGTCAGTTAACAAGCATAACTGTTCGCTAGCCTTGGGCGGAGTCGCTGCCATTACCTGAACCTCTGGCCCCTTCGGAATCGCTCCTGCTGCTTGTGTCCAGAATGACCGCCAGCCCCACGGAGTTCGCTGGCAGGATGTGGCTGCTGAGGTCCACCCTCGTCAAGCTCCCGGGTTCCCAGACAGAGCCCCCTGAGATGTTGTGGAGCTTGTCCTCTCCAGAAGCGTTTGTCTCAAGACTTTTTCTCCATGGTCTCTGCACTATGTGAACTATGCTCTGCTGTTCCAGGTCACAGCTCTGGGGAGGGGCAGGCAGAAAGACAAGAAATGGAAAGCGTTATACACAGGTAGAGCTTACGTCATCCCAGGTTGAGAGTACGCAAACTAGTGTAAAGGCTACGTAACTTCCGTGCCTTAGTGGGAGTGGCTCTGAGTGGAAAGCAGGGTGTGTTTGATTGACTTAAAAACACTCTGCCAGTGGGGCCACAGAACTTATAAACTGCATGTGACAGACAGGTCACATAGGACTGGGGGTGGGAGTGGACATTTGAAGGAAAGCGGAGCACAAAAACAGAAAACTATGGAAACATGAAATGTTTATGAAACCTCGTCAGAAAGCAGATTAATGTGTCTTAAGTGCCCTGCAAATGATCATTTAAGGCTGATTTACCTCTCAAGTGCTTTGTCCTTAACTCATTTAATTTAAACACCCATAGTTGTTTCTGCTTTTTAAAAGTACTGAAGGTCATCATCAATTACTGGGCATTTCTGCACAGAATTATAATGACTGTTTATGGCAGGTTGTACACCTTACTTCCTGTCCCTGCGGCCACTAGCCGCGTTCTGCAGTACCAGTGGGGCAGGTACTGCAGGGTTTGTTTGCCCCTGTGATCAAAATCAGTGAATATTTACTACAGAACCTTTTGTACTCCTGTCTTGTTCTTCATGAACAGGAATCTGTAAGGTCTAGAATAAAAATTAAGAGTTGATATTTGCTAAGACAAGACCTAGACAACCCTAGATCCAGTCCTAGTTCAGGATAATAGAAGCATCGTTTTTTGTGAAATTTCTAACTGCTGTGACCTGGCTTGTTCTCTAATGCCCACATCTCTGTGTTCTTCGGCTTGCTACTATTCTCTGTCATTGTGGGAATGGTGGACAGATACCTGTGTACAATACAACCACATAAAAGACACAATGCACTCTTCCTCCTTTGCTGTCTTCCTCGAGCAATCTCTTCATTGTTGCTATCAAATCACTTTCGGAACAGTGACCTCTGCTACTCAACTGAATCCACTGCCAAGCACACTGCGGCTTGGTGTTGCCTTCTCCAGTCAGAGGGTCATTAGAATGCTACCAAGCCAAATGTCTTGCCATCCTCCAGCTCTGGCCTCTATTATACTGACAGGTTGTCTCCCCACAATGGCTCCTACTAGGGTCACTATCTGCCACCCTCCTTATCATTCAAGAGGACAGCCCCCTATCTTATGTACTCTACTTCAAACAAAGCACTGCCTGGCAACTCCTACAGCATCTTGGGGACCCCCAACCCCACTTTTAATGCTGATTTCCATTCTCTGATATTGGTCAGGCTTCAGTCCCTGCATGGGGCTTATCCTCCCTGCCTTGTGACATCCAGCAAGGTGTCCAGAGTGACCAAGTAGGCATCAGAAATAATCTTCTCACCTCTAGTACCCTTATGACCTCATCGTCACCTCCCCATATGAGGCTATAGTTATTATTATGACTTGGTAAGTATTCTCTATATGTCTGGTTTCTGTCTGTTTCAGGCTGCTACATACAAGAATCTTTGGTGTGTGTATCATACTATCACATGACTAGTGTATTTATTCCTTTCTCTTTTCCAGACCTCTGTCAAGTGCTTTTTATGCCCTTTCTGTGTACAGAAGGGCCATCCTCCACAAGCATCCATGGTTATGGAACTGTGTTAGTAGGCCCCCAACGAGATCTTTCTTCACACCTGCATTTTATGTTAGCCATGTGAATGACTTTACACTACTGATGTTAGCAGACAGGAAGGAATAGAGGTTTGGAATGGGTTTGCCTGGATGCTTGGGTCCTCCAATAGAATATGCTGAGAAGTTTTCTCTACTACAGCTCGGGAGCCATGGCTGTATCTGTGGTATAGCCTGAGTCCAGCCACAGAAGTGCAAGTGCTGCCCTGAGTGAAGACCCCTTTAAACGAAGCTAGCTCTGGCCTCAGCCCCGGCCCCCTGATGGCATGAAGATGTGTGAGAACACAGATTTGGGGCAACTGCTCCTGTGGTTCTGTCCTCAGAAGTAAAAGCAGATGGCACCCCAATGTCCATCGCACTGGAGCAGGAGCCATACCATCACTCCGTGTCTCAGGATGGGCTCTTATGTAGAACCCAGGAACCTTACACCCATAGCCAGAGTCCCGGCAGGCTGAGCCCTAAGACCTGAGCACACTGAAGCACAGGCGAGTGAGAATGGAGTCTTGCCAGGAGAAGGGAAAGAGTAGGAGGAGGCCTCAGCACAGCCATATCCCAAGGGAGACACAGGTTTATTCTGTTATCCATGTTCAGAACTGAAGTTCTAGAAAAAAAAAAGTGGCACCTTTCTCATCTGAGTCCCCAATACTTTGCCTGCCAAGGTCTAATCACAGAGTTTACAGCTTACATAGTGTGTATGTGTGTGTGTGATGTGTCTCTCTGGGTGTGTTGTGTTGTGTGTGTTATTATGTGTGTGTATGTGGTATGTTATGTGTGTTGTGGTATGCTGTGTGTGTAGGGGGGAGAGAGAGCGATGCATGCAATCCAAGACGATTCAGAAAATTAGAAAACATTTATAGTTATGACTGGTCATACTTACAAAGGCTTACAGAGCATTCTGAGCCCAAGGATGTGGGAATTGAAAAACTAAATGACTGAAGGGAAAACTACTGAGCAGATGAGTGAGTGGCTGGATGGATATTAAGAGTCCTGTGTCCTGTCCCTCTAGTGCTTCGTGGAAAGTTGGCACAGTGTGGAAAGATCCACGAGGATCAACTACAATATATTTGCCTTCTCTGCACTTGTCAGTTTCTGCATGATGGGGGTATTTTCCCTCCCTCTGCTCAGCTTTCCATATTGACAATAATGCTGTCAGCACTGACCACTGTTCTGGAGACTTAGAGACATGTAAAGGACCCAATATACATCGTGCATCAGTCTCCAAAATGGAAGGCTGTGGCCCCCTATATTTTATATGACTGCAGCCTCAGAATTCTATTTAGCTGTTCCACTCCAAACAACCTTGTGGAAAACATACAGAGAAGGAAGAACATGCATAAAATATGACTGTGGAAATTTAGCAAAATCTCAGCTTTCTATGATCAAAAATTTAATTTAAAAACCACTCTCCGTGTACGAGATTCCCTGGGATGCAAAAGGAGCCAGGCATATTTTCTAGGGCAAGCGTGGAAGAAATCAGAGAGACGCGTCACACTCTCCTCTCACGTCCAGACTTCCCTGGCTTCCAGAAGGCTCTGTGAAGGGATTCAGTAGCTACAGTGGTATTTATAGAACATATTTCCACATCTCTATCCATGGTTTTGAGATCTGTAATTGCTTAATTCTTTAACTCTCTCACAGAAAGCACTGTTGATCCAGAGGTCCCTTTGCCAGATGGCGCACTTGCATGTCATGCCAGCACAGCCCAGAGCCACACTAATGGCCAATCCCATGGACAATAAGCTGGATAAAGTTCAGCCGTGTGGCCATTCCAAAGCCCCAGCAATATGTACTTCACACAATATTCACAAACGCCTCACAAATTTCAGACAGAGAGATTTTGGGTGGAAAGAAAGAAAAGTGCAGTGATTCAATATGATTGCAAAGTCTTTGGAGTAAAAACAATCTTTCCCCCAAAGACACTAAAATTCTTGGGAAAAAAAGCAAAGAAAAGATGTTGCTTAATAAGCATACAGCAGCTGGGTAGTGGTGGTACACACCTTTAATCCCAGTACTCAGGAGGCAGAGGCAGGCAGATCTCTGTGAGTTCGAGGCCAGCCTGATTTACAAGAGCTAGTTCCAGAAGAAACCCTGTCTTGAAAACAAACAAAGAACCAGACAATGTATACTCATTTTGTATTTGTTTATAATAATTTACTTCCCTCAGAATAAGGGCAGTAGTTCTGTGAGCAAAGAAAGCAGATATTCATCCATATGCGCAAGGTCTTATGTTTCCATCAGAGCTGTGGTCCAGGCTCCCTCCAACAGGACCTTCAGTACAGTGTGAATAACTTTGGAAAATATTAACTGACTCCCATCTGGGCAGTTACTATCTGACAACACCCCTGAACAAAACACAAAACCAGGTTTTCTCTTTCTTTTAAAAAAGGCCCTTTAGAAGGCACATTTTTTCAAATATTTCAGAACTTGGTACTTTAATTAAGACCTTGGAAACAAGAAACATTTTAAAAACTTGATGATGCTTATCGATAAAACAACTCCTGCCCCTACGGGTCAGGGATAATTTTGCAAAGAGGGCAGAAAGGCTGCAAGGGCCAGAGGATCAAGGAGTTCTCTGTGAGACCTTGTCTCCAAGGAATGTGAGGAAATACACCCAGAAGGTCTCACCAACATCACTGCCTGAACAGAAGCTGATTAAGGAAAACACCAACAGACATGCCAACACGGACAGAAAAATGCTTAGCCCTACCCAGGAAGTTTGGGAACAAAGGAATGCAGACTGTGGAGGAGTAGTCTTCATCTGAGTGGTTGTCCAACACCAAATGGTCAGCCTGAAAACATATATACAGTAATGTTATACAGACAGAGGAGTATGTGTGTGTGTTTGTGTGTGCATGTGTGTATGTGTGTTTATAAAGGAAGCAGGAGGGAGCTTGCATCCTCTTTGCCTTCTGTTCTTGGGATGAAGGCAGATGCAGTCAGAGGCCCACACTAGATTGCCACCTTAGCACTGAGCTTGGGCTTCTCAAACGGCAGGACTGCAGAAACAGATTTCTGTTCACTATAAATTTTCCAGTGTAAGGTATTTGTGTAGCCACACATTCTAGTCCCAGGCGATCCTGGTAATGGGGCAGAGCTGTGCACACAGAGCTGATTGTGCGTCATTGATTGTGGCCACTGCTGCTCTTCTCACGTCCGCTGTGTGGAAGACAAAGAGCCACAGAGAAGTTAAAAATGGGCCTGAGGCCACCCATCTTCAGTGTAAAGGAGGCTGCTAACAGCTTTGTTCAGCTGAGTCTGAAACAGATGGAGACACAGCTGGGGCAGAGCAGGGTAGTCTACACAGGGCTAGAGAGAGAAGCGG